CTGTCTGAGCGTCTCTCTCTCTGTCTGAGCGTCTCTCTCTCTCTCTGTCTGAGCGTCTCTCTCTCTCTCTGTCTGAGCGTCTCTCTCTCTGTCTGAGGGTCCCTCTCTCTCTGTCTGAGTGTCCCTTTCTCTCTCTCTCTCTCTCTCTCTCTGTCGGAGCGTCCCTCTCTCTTTTTCTGTCTGAGCGTCCCTCTCTCTTTCTCTGTCTGAACGTCACTCTCTCTCTCTGAGGGTCCCTCTCTCTCTCTCTGTCTGAGCGTCCCCTCTCTCTCTCTCTCTCTCTCTGTTGAGCGTCCCTCTCTCTCTCTCTGTCGGAGCGTCTCTCTCTCTGTCTGAGCGTCCCTCTCTCTCTCTCTGTTTGAGCGTCTCTCTCTCTCTCTCTGTCTGAGCGTCTCTCTCTCTGTTTGAGCGTCTCTCTCTCTGTCTGAGCGTCTCCCTCTGTCTGAGCGTCTCTCCCTCTCTGTCTGAGTGTCTCTCTCTCTGTTTGTGTTAGCGTCTCTCTCTCTGTTTGTGTGAGCGTCCCTCTCTCTCTCTCTCTCTCTGTCTGAGCGCCCCTCTCTCTCTCTCTCTGTCTGAGGGTACCTCTCTCTCTCTCTGTCTGAGCGTCCCTCTCTCTCTCTCTCTCTCTCTCTCTGTCTGAGCGCCCCTCTCGCTCTCTCTCTGAGCGCCCCTCTCTCTCTCTCTGTCTGAGGGTACCTCTCTCTCTCTCTGTCTGAGCGTCCCTCTCTCTCTCTCTGTCGGAGCGTCCCTCTCTCTTTTTCTGTCTGAGCGTCCCTCTCTCTTTCTCTGTCTGAACGTCACTCTCTCTCTCTGAGGGTCCCTCTCTCTCTCTCTGTTTGAGCGTCCCCCTCTCTCTCTCTGTCGGAGCGTCTCTCTCTCTGTCTGAGCGTCCCTCTCTCTCTCTCTGTTTGAGCGTCTCTTTCTCTCTCTCTGTCTGAGCGTCTCTCTCTCTGTTTGAGCGTCTCTCTCTCTGTCTGAGCGTCTCCCTCTGTCTGAGCGTCTCTCCCGCTCTGTCTGAGCCCCTAAATAGGTAGCTGGAGGTACCTGCAGTGGAAGCCTGACTATCCATGGGACAGGAAGTCAGCATTGGCAGGTTCCCACTGTGGTGCACAGTGAAGAGCTGGAGAGCCAAATACTCCCTGCTCAGCCAAGCAGTGGTATCCTTCATGGTATGTAACCTTTTTAAGGGTGTATAGTCTGTCACCAAAACAAACCTGACCCCTGCTGGATACTAGTGGAGGCTCTTGACTGCCCATTTCACCGCCACACACTCCTTTTCAATCACTGAGTCCCATGCCTCCTTGGGTAGACTTTCCTACTGAGGTGTGGGATGATTCACCCCATCAAATGGTTGCGAGAGAACAGCAGCCAGACTAACGTCTGACGCATCCGTTTCCACAATAAATTCAGCTTTGAAGTCGGGGCTATGTAATAATGGATGATTTTACACAACCTTGATTTTAGGGCATCAAAGGTCTACTGACATCCCTCAGACCATTTCACCCTTTTAGCGGCAGATTTCTTTGTCAGATCTGTTAGCGGAGCAGCCAGCATAGAAAAATGGGGTATAAACCTCAGATTGTAGCCAGCTATCTCCAAGGAAGACTGGACTTGAGTTTTTGTAGAAGGCATGATATACTGTAATAGAGCCTCCACTTTGCCTGCTAAAGGCTTCAGTTGCCCATTCCTCAGGGAATATACCAAGTACTTGGTTTCGGATTTCCTAAGGGCACACTTGCTGGAGGTCATTGTTAGACGATCCGCCCTTAGGGAACCCAGAACCACAGCCACCTGGCGCAGATGGGGATCCCAGGTTGAGCTTTAGATCATAATGTCATCTAAATAGGTTGCGGCATATCCCTGGTGGGAGGGCCAACCCCTGGTCCATAAGGTGCTAGAAGTTGACCAGAGCTCCATGGAGCCCAAAGGGCAGTGTAGTGATGTGCTTTTTGAGCCCTGGTTAAATGTTCTCCCGTGGACACCGATCCGGAAGAACTTGAGATTGGGACTTGGGACCCCAAATCTACCTCCTGCTTCAAAGGATGTACAAACAAGTTATCACACGCATTCCAAAGTTTCAATAAGTTTACATGATAAATCTGTTTCTGTTTTCTTTTCTCTGGCTGATGATCTCATAATCTACCTTTCCAGTACGATGTACTATTTCGAAGGACCCCTACCATTTAGCCAGTAATTTACTCTCTGATGAGGGAGTAAGAGCAGCACCCTATCTCCGGGGCAGTATTCACGTAATCGATCCCCCTGATTATAATGCTGCTCTTGGGCCTGCTGTGCGTTTAGCAGGTTTTTCTTAGCAAATTCCACAATAATATTTAGCCTTTTTCTTGAGGTCTCGGACGCACTGCAAGCCATTTTTTCATTTTTTTTCGTTTGGATTGGTTGTTCTTCACACGTTTCCTTAACAAAATCGCGTATCCCCTGTGGCTGTCTGCTGTACAAGGAGGAAAGCCCCTCGAAGCCTGGGGAACCTCCCACATAGGATCTGTTGAGCTTGTCCGAGGCTCGATTTTTCAAAATTCCGAAGCATCACCTTAAGGGTTCTATTGATCTGTTCTACCAGTCCATTGGTCTGTGGGTGGTAGCCCAAGGTCTGATAGGAGGTTATTTTAAGCTTTTTAAGAACAGACTATAGGAGATCAGCCAAGAAATTTGTTCCCTGGTGCATCAGGATTTCCTGAGGGATCCCTACTCTAGAGAAGAGTTTCATCAATTCCGTATCCACTGCAAAGGGACAGCCTCTGGATAGCGGGTAGCATAATCAACAATCACCAGGATCTAGCAATTTCCCTGAGAGGGCTCCAGGGGTTCTACCAGGTCAACCCCAATTTGCTCGAAAGGGGTATCAATGATCAGTAAGGGCACTAATGGGGCCGACTTCTGACCTGCTGGGCTGGTCAACTGGCAATCGGGACAAGACACACAGAATTTCTCCTTGTCCGCAATAAAATTTCTCTATGTCCAGCCAATAAAAGCGGGACATAATTCTGTGTTTAGTCTTATTTTGACCCAAGTGGCAGTCTAGGGAATGGAGTGTATCAGCTGCATTTCTTTACCTTTGAAAACTTGGAACACTAGGATTTGTAATGTTGTCTCGCTGGACTATTGGTGCTTATTCACCCGTTACACCAAATCATCATCAATCATTTCAAAATGTGGAAATATGGTAGCTTTTTCCTGATTGATGACTTTCCCATTGGATATGGCAAGTTGCGGTAAGACCAGACTTAACAGAACATCGTTCTGTCGTTCTTGTAAGAATCGGAGAGGGTTAGATCTATTTCAGGAGGTGCCCTATCTCTTTCCAGCGAGTTTCTCCCCCTCCTTTGCTGGAGGTTACACTGGGTAGCTGCACCTTTTCCTTTAGGTTTCGTAGAGGGTTCGTTCCTCCGTTGCACTTTCCCTAGTGAGCCACAATTTTGGTCTAATGGTTTTTCTCTTTTCGTTTTCCAGGATAGAATTGGGAGGTGCACAACTACAAAAAAAAGGAAAAACAGTCCCTCACGGCAGGGATTGGAGCCACCGGACCACTCCACGATTATCTGATTCATACATTCTTGGACTGCAGTGGTTAGATTACTCGCCTCGCAAGTGGGAGACCTGGGTTCGATTCCTGGTGGGATGAAATGTTGGACAAGTTTCCTTACTCTATTTACCTAGCAGTAAGCAGCTTTTAAGAGTGTAGATAATTATTTGGAGGACAAGTTTGCAGGGCTATGGGAAGAGAGCAGGGTGAGTGGGATTGAATTGCATAGCTCTTTTCAAAGAGCCGGCACAGACACGATGGGCCGAATGGCCTACTTCTGTGCTGTATAATTCTATTATTCTACAAACTCAGTTGTTAGTCGATTGACCGATCGCTTTTCCGGGGGTAATAATTGCTTTAAAAAAAAAACTGTTTGTGGGACACTGCTGTGCGCAATTGATTGCCACGTTTCGCCCACAAAATATACAGTCAATTCACTTTACAGTATATTCTATGAAGGGCATTGAGATGTCTCAAGACTTGATAATCGAATGAAAAGATTATTATTATTATTCCCCAATTTCTAAGGTTGCTCTGGCTGTTGGGTTTATTCCCCAGGGTTTATTCCCCTGTCACAGTTATATTCAAGTGAAAATACAGATGTGGTTAATTAAAATCATTCAGGTGATGTTTGGAGGGAACTGGAGGTGAATTAAGGCAAGTTGAATATGAATAAGCTTTTAAAATAGTTCCATAATATGTGTTAAGCAATGCAAGAATATTAAAATAAAAACTAAAATGTTGGCACTGAAAAAAATGGTTGACCAGGAAGGAAAAGAAATGCCAAATTCAACAGCAATTTACATATACCTCCTCTGATCAATATTGTATTCCCAGCCCATGGTGCATTCCCTCCATACGAGTAAGAGCAAGTGCAGATTGCATGCATTCATGTTAATCAATCAGAATCCCGGTTGGGCAATAATATTTTCAAATGCAATGAAGATGTTAGAAATGAAGTTTCTATATTGTTCCCACTAGATGAATTTTAAGTAGAATATCATAAATGTAATCTCTTATAAAGGGTGTATACAATATTATTCAATATATCTCTTCAAATTCTAAATTTAATTATAAATTCAATATATATTTGCAAACCATGCAAGTAAGATATATGACATAAGATAAATGAGTTAAGTGGAAAGCAATGGCTGTGTTGTGCTTTTCCAGATCAATTACCCCTTTTGAGATCAATTATTTCTAGGCAATTATTAGCAGATTTATCATTTTGTGTTCCAATATTGATATGTCAGATATACATACTTTAATCTTCTCAGGAGTAATTTCTTGAGCTTCCCAATCATCTGTAAAATGAAAGCAAAAAATACCAAATAAGAAAAAACATTTAAAATGCATGTTGCAGGTTAGTAATTATTTCATTTTAACATTTTCTACTATAACATATAATGTGCATAAATACATACACACACACACCATTCTCCATTAAGCTAATACAATAAAACTTATGAGTCGTATCCTTATAAATTGCCAGTTTCCTACCAAAAACACTTAGATTTCTTTATAAATCAGATAAGCGGCTTAATGTAATGGTTTCTTGGTCTCAAATAGTCCTAAATCCTATATAAATCATCTCCCAACTCATAAAGCCGCTAGGTAATTTACTGGCTGCATTGAGGTACACATGCGCAGTGGTCCATTTGAAACAAGCAGGGAAACAAAGTCTTTACCCACCATCGCATGTGCACTTACCAGCTGCAGTGAGGAGTAAGCATGCACAGTACAGTATATTCTGTTAAAACAAGCGTGAAACACAAGGTACTTGTTTACTGTTATGTGTTAGTCATAAAATCCAACTTATACAGGTTTGGCTGCAAGTCATACTTCACACAAGTCATATTAAAGTTATGCTACTGACTGATACGATTTATACAAGTTTTACTGTACTAACCACTGCTACAGTCAAAATTGAAAAAGACAAGTCAACACTGTGCCAACTAGAGATGTGAAAGTTTTGCCAGGTTATAAAAGGTGAAAAACAGGTGGTGAGGGGCAGCTTAGATTTACTGATTATACACTTAAAAAGGCCCTTTAGCCCAACCAGTCCGTGCCAATGTTTATACTTCGGGCTTCCGATTTTCAGGGTTTAACATTTTCATTTTGGGGGATATAATTTTAGCATTTTTTGGATTTCTAAGAACTCAGGGTTTTTCAGGGTTTCACTTACCTGTAATGAGAAGATTCAGATGAATCTGTGCACACGGAAGACGTGAGCCACCTTCACTCATGTGCAGTGAGCTTCCCTCCTCTCAGATGTTTATGGAGGTGCATCTGGTGACCCGTTTGTTAGAGGAGGGAAGCACTGCAAGTGTCTGAAGGTGCCTCTCTCTCTCCTCCGTTTGCCTCCCTTTTCTTACAAATGCAACACCAGGTACTTCTGCGCACGTGGAGGGGAGAGGGGCAGCGGAGAAAACGAGTAATGTGCAGTTAAGACCCAGGCCAGGTAATCATATACAGGTTTTGTAATGTTTATTGGATAAACACTGATATAATTTTTTTTGTATCGGGTGATTCATCAGGGATTTTCAGTTGAAACCAAGGTTAGAAGTCCTCCACACAATCCCCCATCCACTCCTCTCACACCCATTTATTCCTTTCTCCTTCATGTGTGCATCTGGCTACTTCTTAAATGCAACTATACTATCTGATTCAACTACCACTTATGGCATCAAGTTCCAATAATTTTCCTAGTTGTCAAATTACCTGTCTCAGTCAGAAGCACTCCTGACCTTGGTTGAGAAAGTTGTGGGCTCAAGGACCCCCACCCACAATAAGACCCAAGTACTTCCTTATCAGAAGTCTGTGAAGTCCTGTAGCTCAGTGGTTAGAGCATTCGCTTTGCAAGCGAGAGACCCAAGTTCAATTCCAGGAAGAGGGCGAAACCTTGGACAAGTTTCCTTACTCTACACGCCAATAATAATCCCTCCAAAACCAAAAATAATAATAAAAAAAATTGGTCATTTTCAATCTACGACTGTTTGTGGGACATTGCTGTGCGCAATTGGCTGCCGCGTTCGCCCACAAATATACAGTCAATTCACTTTACAGTGTGTGTTCTGTGAAGCGCTTGGACGTCCTCCGGACGTGAAAAGCGCTATATCAAATGCAAGGATTATTATTATTATAGAAGTGCCATCCATTGAGGATGAGGCAATAAATCTGCTCAGGCAGGATACCTCACGACACTACTGGAAACAAGGTAGTCTTGACTGCTGTTTTGGCCAACAATTCCCCCACACAGATAAAACTGGTCATTGACTCCATGCTGTTTGAGGGACCCTACTGTGCCTGCCTACACATGTATGGTCACTACACTTGATAGCAAATACATGTGAAGTACTTTTAGACACTTCAAGATTATGGATGCTATGTCAAATGCAAAAATCTTTATTAAAGACCATTATTTGCTGCAGCAGGTCTTGATCTAGAGGCTAAAGCAAGCAGCGGAACCTTCTTTTTGGTTTAAAAAAATGCTAGAAAGCAAAGGCATGAGGGAGGAAATGAGATATCTCAATTTTTTTAAATATACAGAAATAACAATAATTCTTATATTTGCTAAAGGGCCTTTCACATCAGGAGGACATCCTAAAGTGGGATATACTGTAAAGTGGTGTGACTGTGTGTTTTGGGAGCCTGTGTGCAACTGGGCACAGCAACATCCAACAAACATCCATGGAATAAATGACTAATCCCATCTGGAGAACCGTTGACCAAAATACCAAGGGGAAACTCCCTTCTCTTTTCGTATAGTGACACGGATTTAACATCCACCTGAACAGGCCCAGACAAAGCCTTGGTTTAATATCTCATCCAAAGAATGGGGCCTTCGATAATATTGCATCGGAGTGTCATACTATAAGAGTTCCAAGATCCGATGTAGGGCTTGAACCCACAACCTTCTGACCCAGAGGCGAGAGCAAGCACCAGTGACACTTTATCTGTGTCTGCACTTCAATAGCTTAATGTTTTTAGGGTACTGAAAAAACAGTTCAGTGGCTTCAGCACATATGAGCATTAAATATGGCTTGTGTTTTGATTATAGATCATGCGTGATTTAAATTATTATAAATCCAATATTTACTACAATGGTATCAAGAGTGGAATTTGAACCCACGCCTCCAAAGAAGACATCTGAATAATAACAAAACCATTCTGCTCAGATCCCACCAGCATCCTTCCACCACTGGCTCTGACTGCATAAATCTCTCAAGTTGCTTACAACAGCTCACAAAGCCAGTGTTCAATGTCAGGATTTTGTTTGACCCTCCCCTCTCCTTTAAGCCTTTCATCTGGTCCTCGACCGAGGCTTACTTCTCTTGTAAATCTCTTCGCCTCTGACCCCCCCATTCTGCTTTCAAAATCCTAACTCTTTCACTACACCTTTAGTCACTTCCCTCCTCTCCCTCACCCACCCACTCAACCAATAACAAATTACGCATGCACTAAAACTGCCATCAACAATTCACAATGTGTTGATTCCTGTGATATAGTTCCAATTAATAATAATTGCCAGGAAGCTTTGGCACCAAAGTTACCTTTTAGGTTTGGATCTTTGCCCAGGCCTCCAAGCATTACAGTGTTAATATTCCAAGTACCAGCAACAAATTCCTGTTTTTGGGAGAGTATATCTGCAATTTTTAATTCTTCTTGTCTGTATTCAGAAAGGAAATAACAGTATACTTTACCTCCAAAATTGACATATTTTCAATACTGTTTCATAATAAAAACTGAAGGAATAAATAATCGGAGCCAAATATTGCTGTGAAAAAGGGCATGTGAAGCGCTTTGAGACATCTTAACGATGTATCAAGGCGCTATATCAAATGTGAGGATTATTATTATTCACCAGTGTATTATTATTCCTCTACCTCTCCGATCTCCTAACCGCCTAACATCCTGTTCGCTCCCTCCGCTCAGCGGGCTCTGGCTTGCTTCACATCCCCCGCCTTGCTTGCCTCAGTATTAATAAAAATAATAATCCTTGCATTTGATATAGTGCTTTTCACGTCTCAAAGCGCTTCACAGATTAGACTGTAAAATGAATGGACCGTATATTTGTGGGCAAAACGCGGCAGCCAATTGTGCACAACAGTGTCTCATAAACAGTCGTGGATTGAAAATGACCAATTTATTATGGTTTTGTAAGGATTATTATTAGGCGTGTGGAGTAAGGAAACTTGCCCAAAGTTTCGCCCTGACCTGCCTGGAATTGAACCCAGGTGTCTCGCTTGCAAGCGAGTGATCTAACCACTGAGCTACAGGACTCCGTATTGTCGGGAGGGCCTTCCGCCCCCTCTGCACCCACCCTCTAGAGCACCATCCCGCAGTTCCTCTGTCTCGCCCCCTCCCTCGCCACCTTCAAGACCCACCTCAAGACCCTGCTCTTCAACCGTGATTTCGATCTCCCTGCTTTCCCCCTCCCCCACCTCAACCCTCAGCTTGGGTCCGAAACTCTGTCCAGCGCCTTGGGACGTCCTCCCAAAGTGAAAGGCGCTATGTAAATGTAATTTTGTTGTTGTAGGTTTACCTTTGCTCTTCTAATTGCTTTACCATCATTGCTTTTTTTTCATCATCATCATCCACGGCATCATCAGCATACAAGTGATAGATAACCTTCAGAAAGTCAGACTCCTATTGAAACAAAAGCAGATAAAGAAGCTCTTTAATGTTACATAAATATGAGCTGCTGACATGTTCAGCATTCTATAAGAAAGATCCAACAGAAACTATTTCAAAGAAGGTTTTAAACCTATATTTCAGTAACTTATCATGGTAATTAACTTTTCTCCTGAATAAGGTTACTTTAAACCATGTATAATATATAATTATAGTCATGTTGATATTTTACAATAAAACTCGCAGAAGTCTTATCTTTATAAATCGTATGATCGCCTAAATCGTATAGTCACCCGAGTCCCATTCAGTTTCCAATCCAAACCTCTTAGATTTCTTTGCACTATATCAATCATCTCCTAACTTGTTCCACCGCTTCCATATCCTCCATTACTCTCACACTCACCAGCTGCATTGAATCACGGAAAATGACGTCCTGACCCATCGACACATGCACAGAAGAATGTCATTTACTGCAATTCAATGTGATTCCAAAGCTTGCCTGATTCCAAAGCACTGAATTGTGAAAATGTAGTCTTGACCCCTCACCGTATGTGCACTTACAAGCTGCAGTGACTGACTACCACATGCGCACTTACCAGCTACAATGAATTATGCACGTGCAGCGTAGATTATTGATTAAACCAGATTTTATATGATTTTATACCACTCACAGTGAAAGAATCCTGGGAGCAAACAGCACCTTCACACCACAGACACTGAAGTACAGAAGGTAAACCGGCTCTGTCTACCACCACCTCCGCAACATTGCCAGACTCCGCCACTGCCTCATCCCTCAGGCTGCCGAAACCCTTACCCACGCATTCGTCACATCAAGGTTCGATTACGGAAACTCCCCCTTCATCAGCCTTCCCAACTCTTCCCTTCGCAAGCTGCAGATCATCCAAAACTCTGCAGCTCGTGTAGTCCCAGGCTCCGTGACCCCATCACTCCCACTCTCGCCCGACTCCACTGGCTCCCCATCTCCCAGAAGATCGAGTTCAAGATCCTCGTCCTCACTTTCAAGGCCATCCATGGCCTTACCCCCTCCTACCTCTCTGACCCACTGACTCCCTACCAACCTGCCCGCTCCCTCTGTTCAGCGGGCTGCAGCCTGCTCCATGTCTCCTGCCCAACCCACCCTACCATTAGTGGCCGGGCTTTCAGCCTTTCTGCCCCCACACTCTGGAACTCCATTCCACAGTCCCTTCGCCTCGCTTCCTCCCTTGCCTCCTTCAAGGCCGGTCTCAAGACCATCCTCTTCGATCGTGCTTTTGGTCGCCTTCCCACCTCTCTGCCTTCCCTCACCCCACCTCTCCCCCATGCTTGGGTGACTCGGGTCCTGACCCCTGACTGTCCAGCACCTTGAGATGTCCTCCCGACGTTAAAGGCGCTCTACAAATGTAATTTTGTTGTTGTAAAGATGGGCCCATATTTAACGTTACACCTTAGTTACTTAGGTTGCCACAAACTGCTGAGGGTCTTCATTCAGCTTTCAGAAGTAACAGCTAAGAAACCAGGATACCCTGTCCACCTAGCTGCCTCCAGGTGTGCTGAGCACCTTTCTTTATTTTGCCTGGGAATCAAGATAAGCTATCAAGACTGCAGATGAGTATGATGGTGTCACAGAGCCTGGTGCAAGAGAGGACACGAGCTGCAGAGTTCTGGATAATAACATAATTCTTGCATTTGATGTAGCGCTTAATCATGTCGTTGAGACAACTCAAAGTGTTTCACAGAATATATTGTAAAGTGGATTGCCTGTATTTTGTGGATGAAATGTGACAGCCAATTCTGGATATAAATTTGAATTGTCAAAAGGGAAAGCATGGAAAATTGACCTTATGCAATCTCCATTGTTTAATACAAAATGATAAATTGAATTTTAAAGCACAGTGACAAAGAGCTGCATGATAAAAGAGCCATTCTTAAATTAGAATTAAAGTGCATTGCCATACCAATGGGGTGGGGTGGTTAAACTGGAGTTCCTGTTAACCCTGCAAGCCCTAGCAGAGGGAAAGCTTGCCAGACAGCAATGGTTGCTGGTTTTTAGCTGGTTACTCCAGCAGTATCCCAACGCACACTCCTGGGTCCCTAAGCCTTGGCTCTTGATCACCTGCACCTAATACTTTCCAAAATGAGATAAGCAGGATGGTGATGGGTTTCCGCATGTGTCAGACACCTAGCTGACCAAAAAAAAAGGTCAACCTTCTTTCTGCTGCTGATTAACCTGTTAGCAATTTCCAGTATTTTCTGTTTGCAATTCAGATTTCCATTCTAACAGTCACTTTTTTTTAAAAATAGAAGTCACAGAACATTATATCACAGGAACCTGGACCAACCCCTCATAATCCCCTCTTCCATTCTCCCTAATGTATGTATCAGCTTTCCTCTTGATGGGTTTTTTTCTTCACCACACCTTTCAGCAGTCAGTTCCAAATTCCCATCACTCTCTGCGAAAAAAAGTTCCCTCTGAACTTCCTTTTAAAGCTGAAGTGTCCTTCTGATTATGAAAAGCAAAATGCCACTCTGAATGCAGACGCCGAGGGCAGACACCGAGTGACGTACCGTGTAGTTTCCTCAAGCAAGCTCCCTTTCTCCCTATTGAGAAACTCCTCTATCTCCCTCTCCACCCTGCATTTGAAAACTCCTGACAGTCTTTCCCTTTGTCCAGCAAACACCAGCTTGCTTCATGTCCCCCCACCCCATTTGCCCCACCGTCGCCATTTGGCCCTGCTCTCTGGAGCTCCATTCCTGAAGTCCCTCCGATTTGCTTCCTCCCTCCTCTTTTTTAAGGCACACCGAGACGAAACTCTTTGACTGTGCTTTCCATCATTTTTTCCTTTCCCCAGCTACCTCAACTCCTACCCACAGCTCAGCGGCCCAGCCAGCAGTGCTTTAAAATTATATTATGTTTCTGAAAGAGAAACAGAAAAATATTGCTAAATGCGGCCCACAAATGTGTCTCAAATCCGGCACCCAGCCAAAAGGTTGGCCCACCTTGTCCTTGACAGTAACATACCTGTGAAGCTAATTGTTTTAGGTAGTCATTAGAGGTGATGGTGGTTTTCCACGTTTGTAGCCACATGGCATGTTTTTTGGAAGGTTTAGGTTCGAAAACAGGATCTTCTATTTCTCCGTCTGATGTTATATGTCTAAAAAAAATTCAAATAAATTTAAATAACAATTAATAGGCAAAAAAGTACTGAATTCATTTTAACCACCTGTCTATAAAGTGGCTGTAAACAATGGAATCCTGAGTAGCATCAGGACTAAGAGGGCAACCTTAATAGGATGTGGTCATCTGGGTTCTGTATCTCAACATTGTTGCTGCAGAACTAACATCAACAACAATAGTAACTGATTATCATGGGCACTTATCCACCAAGGATCACCCTACTAGTTGGAGTTTTGGGTTACAGAGTTGAAGACATGTTTACACTTGAAGCCTGTTGAATTACTGCCTGCCTGTTTTTCCCAGGGATAGCTCTGCTAAATTGCTTCAATTCAGGACACCTGACTTCTATATCTCTATATCTCTTCCTCCTCCCCAATCATCAGATTCATTTCAAAATCTAGTATGCACTCATTTTAATTAACTTGAAAGAGCTGAGTTGATCAACTAGCATTTACACCTGTTCAAGAACGTTCAAGTCAGCTAACCCACATAATCCAGAAGAGGATACAGGACTGACATATCTCACCTCAACAAACATCAAATGTAATCAGTGATGTTTGATCTGTCATACTTACTGAAGTGATAAATAATTGCATTTTTATTGCTCTTTTATGCCACTTTTCCTGAAGGTATTCATTGTAATATACAGGCTATAGGGAAAGATCAACAATTTGGCACCTGAAGTCCTCTCAATACCTAGCCCAGGATATTCAGGGTGGTCCAAGCTGGACAAGCAGTGGAAAAGATTGCCAGACAGTGATATGTGTAACATAACTTGATCCAAATCAAGTTAGTAGCCTTGTTCCACCGGGTCAGGCCTCCTCCTTGTCCCCCGAGTCCTCTGCTCCACCTTCAGCAGTCATGCCTTCAGCCACTACGACCCGAGGCTCTGGAACTCCCTTCCTCTCTCCCTTCGCCTCGCCCCCACTTCCTATTTTCAGGTCTCAGCTGAAGACCTTTCTTTTCGACCGCACCTTTGGTCACCTTCCTCCCCCTCCCCCTGGCTCAGCCCCAGGATCCGTTACTGTGAAACTCTCTGAGACGCCGTCCGGCATGGAGAGCGCTATATAAATCCAAGTTGTTGTTGTTGTTATTTGTCAATCCAAACTTTCAATAATCCACCATTCTATAATCACACCTTTTGTCCCACTCGCAGTGTCCTTTTATACTTCTTATTGGTCCTTTTATCAATTCTCGATTTACTCTTAAAGGAGTATCTAACAATAGCAAAGGCAAGCTGCATAGTTTTAGCTGGTTAGACTCCAGCAGTGTCCCAACTCACATTCTGGGATCCCCAAGCCTTGCTTCGTGCCAACCTGTTACCTAATACTTTTTGGAATTGGGTGAGCAAAATACGTCCTTCCGGGGAGAGAGTGTGCATTCTTTGTCTGAAATTTGCACGTGTGGGATGGGATGCATGGAATTCTCAGCTTGGTTTGGATACTCTTAAACATTGTGATGGGCTGGGCCAACAAAAAACTGCGGAAATATTTGCCAAAAATTGCAGGCATTTTGCGGAAAATTGCAGGGTGTTTTGGTACATATTGCAGGAAATTGCGGAGGGCTGATTGATCCTATTGAGAGACGCATTTGTGAAACAACCCAGATTAAACCAATAGGCATATATTTCCTGAACATGTAGTTATATTTAAAATACTAAAAATTTTAATTTGAATAGTACAGCACTTACCAAAAATTGGTCGCAGGTGCTCAGTTTAGGCCGGGCACTGGAAGAAGCAGATTTCCCGCTCGGCCACTTCCGCGATCCCAGCACATGAGCAACAGTAGCTGACCACAGTAGCAGCGTAGAGCAAACAGCGCACAAAGACCCGGAGCTTAGCACACTGTGTGTACAGAGCTGTAGTGGAGGGGCTGTTTGTTACGCATTTGTAGCAGAGGAGGGTGTTTGTAGCGTATTCCGCAGAAAAAGTACAGTCTACTGGAGCATAGAATTGTTTTAGAGTTGTGTACCAATTAAAAATTCAAATCACACTGATTTACGGATATTAATTTGGCTGAAATTCAGTTCCTGCAATGAATATCGTATAAGCCACACGCATTTTACAATACCTCCAAAAAGATACTCAAGCCTTACATTTGAGAAGACTGGTTCGTAATCGGAATTTGAAGTTTGGGATTAAAGATACGTTCTTTTTTCTTCCGGGTTAAAGTGGAAGATGCAGTATAATTGGAGAGCTTTGATTCAGTTGCTGGAGGAATTGCAACAAGGTCCTAGAGATTAGAACACGTGTAGTATCAGTACATAAATTACTAAATCAGTAATTCAAACAAATTCCACCAGTACTCCACAAAAGAGCATAATCAATTACTAATTAATTACTAATTACCCCAAAATTTATGGCTGATAGTTAAAATGTTACCAAATTTACACTTTCTTCCTTGTATTCATTTAGAGTCCCGGAGCACGTATGATATCAACAATAACAAGATTACATTTGTATAGCGCCTTTCACGTCGGGAGGACATCCCAAGGCATTGGATATCCTCTTTCTTATGCGTACATGCAAAGGAATGTGAGAAATATCTATTGTACGTTTTTCCGTGAAGTAGGCCTCAAAGAATTAGAAATAACCTTTTCAGTTTTTCAAAAGGAAATTTACACATTAGATCATGCTATGTAGTGCATCCACAAAGAAGGATAAGTTCATCATACCTGGTCAAATAACAGGTAATTGGTTGGGATGTTTGGGATTAGCGCCTTGTAAACGTCTTGGAGTTCTTCACCGGAGAACAAATTTCTGTCTAACCACTTCACTGTTGCTGGTTCAATCTTTGGAGAAATTAGCAAAAATAAATATTGTACTTGTCATTTAACTTTCATATCTTCTAGGAGTTTCACTATCACAATTTTTTTTCAAATATTTACAAGACAAAGCTAATTAGTAACTTCCCATTGACATTCATGGCTACCTATTCAACAAGCAAACATTTTAAACTAGTCAGTAAAAATAATGGCCTTGATGGTATCACAAGGCTATTGGTGTCAAAAGAACAGTGGTATTCTTGGTAGGATATTAACAGTTAGATTTAAAGAAGAAAAGATAAGGGAACCAATCCAAATATAAATATATAATGATGTTGATAACTCAGAGTAATTAATAACCTTTATCAACCATTCATCCCTCTCCATCCCTTCTGCTATTAAGCTGAAAAGCAGATAGATTGAGAGGTATTTACCCAGTTACAAAAGATTTAGTAAATGATTATATAATAGACCTGAAGAAAATACAACAGGTTAATGAAAGGTTAGCCAGTACAAAACATTCAGTAATTCTTTAAAACGTCTTCTATCTTCTATCTTAAAATTCACCTTCGAATTCAAGATCCTCATCCTCACCTACAAGGCCATTCACGGCCTTGCTCCCTCCTACCTCTCCGACCTACTATCCCCCACGAACCTGCCCGTACCCTCCGTTCCTCTGGCTCCGGTTTGCTCCACATCCCCCGCCCCAACCGCCCTACCATCGGTGGTCGGGCTTTCAGCCTCTCAGCCCCAAGGCTCTGGAACTCTATCCCCCAGTGCCTTCGCCGCCTCCTCCCTTTCCTCCTTCAAGGCCGGTCTCAAGACCTTTCTCTTTGACGGTGCCTTCAGCTCCCCTCTCGACTCTCTACCCCCTCCTCGCTCCCCCCCTTTCCTCCCCTCACCCTGACCATTTCCCCCCTCCTCGGGTCCTGACCCAACTGTACAGAGCCTTGGGACGTTCTCCCGACGTGAAAGGCGCTCTATAAATGGAATCTTGTTGTTGTTGTTGTTTATGTGATAGTCATAGGGAAATTTCTAATGTCCCAGAAATTAGTTGTCTAATCAGACGGAGGGGGCAAAAATGCAGTGTTAAACGCATACAGTGAGTTCTTTTTAACAATTATGAAACAGAGCACTGGAACAGAAGCTGTATTAGATTTTGTACATCAGAGTTGATCAGTAACTTGGAAGTGGGTGAATTTGGATTGTAATAATTGTGGGGGGAGAGAAGGAAGTACCGCAGTGTTGCGTGTGGGGTAAGAGGATGTCAGGCAATATCTATCCAGAACTTTTCCCCATGAGATAGAAGACGTTTTATGTGCTCTGTGGATGTAATGGGCCAAAAGATCTTTTGTTGCTCCAATGCTGATATTTGCAGTAACTCAGACATTTCTATGATCCGAACATATAATGTATTTAAAATAAAATAAGATCCAGCAATGGCAGAGACTAGGCCCCTGAAAAGCAACTTGTAAATGAGAAGTAATTCTTTGTGAACTTAATATCAACCAGGAAAAAAATTTCTGTGCAAACATATACCTCTCCCACAAATTCATTGAACAAGGGTGGAAATAGGTCAAGATGGATACAGTCAGAATAAAATCTATCCGATATTCGAACATCAGTTGTTTGCACTATCACTTTCTTTGGCATTGATGTTGTGATGATGGTGGGCTGTGGATGCTCTGGTTTCTGCAGTTTAGTCTGCTGTTTCAGCTTTTCTTGACTTTCTTCTCCTTCCAATTCCTGATTTTGTTTTAAGAAAGGCAAAAACTTAGATTACAAATATCATTTCAAAAATCAAATTACATTTTAATCAATTCATACTAGTAAATGGATATGACCATATCCTGATCAGTTGGCAGCTTCTTTATAATACGGTCCTGTGAAGTTAATCCATGGCAATTTTTGGAGGTTATCTAATTAGAGTAGAAAGGTGAAATATTATAAATTATTTTAATTTGATTTGAATTTCTAACCATCTACTGTATCCATTTCCCCCACAAAACATATAGTATATTCTGTGAAGCTTTTGAAACTTCTCAAAGACGTGTTAAGGCACTATATCAAATGCAAGAATTATTATTAATATATTCTGATGAAGCATTATTTTGATGTTAACTTTCAAAAAGTAACATGCATTATGCAAAGCCATTTATGAATTACTGACTTTTTTTCAACTGGTAAGAGCAACAACAGCAGCAACAAATTTATATTTGCATAGCGCCTTTCACGTCGGGAGGACGTCCCAAAGTGCTGGACAGACATAGTTACGGATCCAAGCTGATTTGGATTAAAAGCTATAAGAATAGGGTGGGTAGAGATCATCACATATTTTATGGAACATGTTTGTCATGAAATTAAGAGTAAGAGGCTAAATGCTTAATAATTCGAAAGAAATTGATTTGAGGATGGCAGAACAAAATAAAGGTCCTTTCTGCTTTATAATTTATAGATATGGAGATTGCTACCATCAACATTTGCTGCATCTTTTGATTCTTCACTTTATTGTGATAACCACTCCTATAACGCGTGAGTGCTTGAATTAGAGGAGGAATCTGTGCTTCAGGATCACTGTCATCTTCCACTTGATACGACATTTGCGACATCCTGCAGAGATATGTGTAGTGAATATTTTATTGATTACACAAAGTCATTGCCCAATTTCTTTTATACAGTGTCTTTTTAAACATTGTGTGAAACATACATTTCTGAACAGATTCAAAGGTTTACAATGGCTTGCTTCACTGGAATTTTTGAAATTTGTTTTGCCACCATTCTAATATATGATGTGATTTTCATACGGATGAAATAATTTATCCCATCAAATCAATAATGAAAGCTAGTCAATGTCATCCCATCATCTAGAATTTAAAAGTTGCAGTTTAAAATCAAAAATGCACCAATTCACCATCCTAAAAAAATTTCATTCTTTTACTTAGATTCCATTTTTAGATAGTATACCTCCTGAGTTCATCAGCAACTGAACTCTCTACTCCAGCATATTCCTCTTTAAACTCTGGGATGTACAGGGGTACGTTTGGATTTTGGACTGGTGCGATTTTTGTTTCTGACCTCAAAATATCTACCTTTAGTAGGTTTGGCATAGATTGGGGTTTCTGAAATAAAAAAAATCACAATATCACTTTAAATGAAGGCCATCATTCCCAAATACCAACTCTAGCATGTTCTCATTATGCAGGAAACAGTTTCTTAAATGTGTCCAACTCTTGGCCTTGTTCATCCTGCCTGGAAACCTGTTCAAATATATTTTTTCTGGTGATGTTTCTTAAAATTACCCTTCACAACACCAACCTGTGCCCTCTTGTCCTGCTGATTTGGGCTATCTAAAGCAGGGTGGTCCAACCTTTTGGGTGTCAAGGGGCGGATGCCACATTTTGAGAAAATGTCTGTGGGCCTCATAGCAACATTTTTGTTTTCCTTTCCAAAAACATAAAAGAAACATGCAGAAATCCTATGTTTTAAATGGTGTGACTGCATTACTTAATAATGATCATCTCAAATGGAAATATATGCATCACACTTTTTCATCCATCAGTCAAATCACAAGATAAAACACAAAACACAAGTCAACTTATGGAGCCCCTACAGAGAATGCTCAGCAAAACCAAAACAGATTAATCCATAATTGCAAAACTAGCTCTGCACTTCTCAACACAGATATGACTTGCAAGCAAACAAGGCACTGAAATTTTCCATTACTTTCAATAAACTAGTAATCTACTTCCCACTTACACTGAAATCCTCTATTTTCCATATCTATCTTGCGTTTCTTACTGAGACTCATAATTCTACAGTTTTAGAATTGCAAAATGCTGCTCCTGCTGAGTCTCACCAGGCTGATACGTGACGTCTTCTTGTCACTCTCCACATCGCCTCATTGAAGGCACAGCTGGGAGGTAAAACAGTGAAGTTGGAAATGGTTTGCAGGCCAGGCAAAATCGTCCTCTTCGACCGCGCTTTCGATCTCCCTTCTTCCCCCTCTGCCCTCTACATTCACCGCCTCCCAGCACGGGTCCGAAACTCCAGCGCCTTGGGACATCTTCCCGACGTGAAAGGCATTATACAAATGTAATTTTGTTGTTAATTTCTTTATTTATTTCTTTAAAAGTGGCAAGTAAACAAATAATCGAGTAACAACCTGGTTCCTATTCATTGCTAAGTAAACAGAGGTGTGTGGAGTATGGAAAAACTGCCTAAGGTTTCACCCCGCCCCAAAATGTATTGCCTTCCAAAGTATTCGCACTTTGAATGAATGAGCCCTTTGAAGCTTCCCCAAAACACGTTCAATGGTTTGCTAAGATCAAAGAGATTTGCCAAGTGTTGACAGACCTCAGAAACGATTTATATGGAGAGGCCAGAAACAAAAGGAGGAAGGGGAAAAGAGACTTGTCTTTTTATTTGTGAAGAAGGAAGAGTAATTCTTACACGAGCTCTTGAGGGGAGAGGGAAGGGGAGAACACTTTTTTTTGTATTTATATCATTTACAGGTCCATTTCTAAAGGGGAGCAGTTCACCGTCCCCACCATCAAATTTTGGTGAACATACCTTGCATAATAATCCTTGCAGAATATACTGTAGAGTGAATTGACTTGTGGTTGAAACATAATATATTTATGGTTATATATGTTAATTTAGTTCTATAGACATTGGTGGACCGCGGGAGATAGGGGGAAAAATGAACTTGGCGGGTGGGGCGAACTCATCCAAGAACTGAGTGGATAGGCACCACTTTCAGTTTTTTCCTATTTATGTTTCATTTGTTTCAAGTCTATATGTACAAATATTACAATATTCGTTCAAACGGAAAAATAGTTTATGGGACTGCTAAAATATTTCCGTCCTTATTCCAGAGTCTGAAGAGCAATTTTCCATGAACACTTTTACTGATGACTTGCGTTAATCTGAGAGTTTTATCGTTTGAGCCTATGTAATCAGTGCAAGTCGCAGAATAAGCTCAGAAGGAATGAAGCCAGGTGCCACTGAAATTTGTATAAATCTAGAAAATTACATGGTTATTTTACAAAATCGTAAACATTTCATCAATAAGCCATTGCAACATTTTCATTTCCCAACTGAAACAATTCTCAAAAATACTGAAATTGCTTTAAACTTATTACCCAAGGCAAAATTAGTGTATTTGTATTTAAGATCAAGGCACTTTGTTGTTCCACTGCTGCTATATTCAAGTTTATTATGCAGTACATCAATGAATTTACACAGCACTCCTGCATTAAAAGAATGGAGATTTTTTTTCACTAATCTATTATTACCATTGAATTTGAAATCCAGTTTGGCTTTCGGATTTTCTTTACAACTGGTTGTGGGTCTTCTTGCAAAGCAGCAATATTTTGCACAGCAGCAACTGTGGAGAGAAAATCTGTAGTAAAATCTACATTAAAATTTCTACACATTCAGTTTGAAACATATTTTACCTTTGGTCAGTATAGTTAGATCTGTAATATAATACGTGATAATTATTTAATTTTCATTATTGTAGCATGCGACTACTACAATGGTAGAAGGACCTTAGTCTTTTTCGTCTAGTAATTCCTATGCTTCTATTTTACTTTTCAATTTCAGAATAAGATTATTCCAAATGCTTCTGAGCTTCATTTTTTCTCCAAATTTAATTTTCAAAATCTGCTTCATACAATTATTACTGTTACATGAAAGTATTGAGAGCTCCTATACTAATTAGAAGTGCCATCAAGTTTATTGTACAACATAAAAACTATTTTGATTTCATAAATGAGGAATCCCCCAAAAAATAACAAAACATACAGGAGTTTTAATCCCCAACTCCAAAAAAATCTTAACATTTTCCTGGTGCTAAACAGCTTGGGAAGCACTTTTGCACTACATGTTCTTGTTCCTTTCTCTCTTCTGTATTTCCTTGTACATCAGTGGGTGCAACACCTGTCCCAAGCAACTGTCTAGATTACTCTTGACTCATCTATATTACTATGAACTAAATAAATGTCTGGAGTGACATTTTGTTTCACACCCAATGCATTATAATAATAATATAATAATAATCTTTGCATTTGATATAGCACTTTTCACGTCTTCTCGACGTCTCAAAGCGCTTCACAGAATATGCTGTAAAGTGAATTGACCGTATATTTGTGGGCGAAACGCGGCAGCCAATTGCGCACAGCAGTGTCCCACAAACAGTCGTGGATTGAAAATGACCAATTTATTATTGTTTTGTTTTGGAGGGATTATTATGTGTCCTCTGCTCAGCACCACCCCGATAGTACATCAAACTGTGTGAAAAATTCTGAATTTAAAATGACAATACATAACACAGAAATTGGAGCAGACCCACACTACACCACTACGTGACTTAATAAACTTATAAATTTATATTATACTACTCACTCTCCATTGGTCTATCAGTTACAGTTGATTCCACTAATTCAACATCTTGAGGTAATACATGATATAACTGTTCTAGATCCAGATACAGTATATTTTCTTTGATCTGTGAACACAATGTTGCAAATCACATACTCAGGTTAATCTACTCAACTGTTTTAATGAACAAAAATAAATTTGGATTGTAATGTTTAACTAACCTCTTTAAGATCATTCGCTACTGAATGTATTTTCTGCGTTCCTGATTTAGGTCTGCTGAGTTCATAGAGGTACTTCAAAGTAGGGGCAGTATAAGGAGGCTGTTGTTTGCTGACCGTATGTTTAGGTTTGCCTTGATTTTCAAATTGTTTAGTAGATGATGGTACACTTGTGTCTAAATGTGATTTTTCATAGATATTTATGACAAAATCCTCGTCATCACTCTTTGCTGAACGTCTTAAAGCCTTGATCTCTCCAGCAATACGAGTCTTTATAGCTAGAACTTTCAAACTAAGCCAAAAATAATTAGTAGAATATAATTTAAAGTAAAACTAAGACACAGTGCTGAATTCATTAATTTTATGGCATTATTCATTAGTCATTTCCTTTTATCTGAAGCTTCACATTATTTTTGTTTAAGCACCCAGTATTTTGGTTCAATAGAATGTTTTTCCTTCTAAGACTTTACTATCAATATTCTTCAAACATAAAGCACAAACATAAATGTGAATACAACATTTCTATCCCAATTACCCACATTGAGGCAGAAAAGCTCCCTATAAGTTATACATTGTGAGAATTAAATCAGATAGCTTGTGTACATTTAGCAGATTTAACTATTTTTAACTGTAGTATAATGAAAACAAAAATATTTTCGCTATTATAAATTAGTTATTTGCTGATCTGCATCACAACCTGCTGTGTATAATCTCGGCATTCAGGTCAACCCCAGCTGTCCTTCCTGCCCACATTCAGTCCTTGACCAGTAGGTCTATTTTCCTCCACCTCTGCCACATGGTACACCTCCTATCTTATCTCACACCTAATGCTGCTGAAACCATTATCCTTTGTGACCCTTTGTGACCTTCCCAGATGGACTATTCCGATGCCCTCCTCGATGGTCTCTATTCTAATGCCCGCCAGCTTCACCATACACAAAATCCAATTAATTCAAAACTCTGCCACCCACAGGAAGCTCCATACCCCCATCACACGAGTCCTTGCCAGACTCCACTGCTCCTGTAAATTCCAATCACCGAACGGATCAATTTCAAGATCCTCTCATTCGTTTTCAAATCACTTCATTCCATTGCACATCCCTACCAAACCGACCTGCTTACAGCCCCACTCCACCACCCACTGCCTTCACTCGGCTGGCTCCGGCATCCTATTTGTTCCTCATGCCCGCCGATCCACCAGTGATAGCTGTGCCTTCAGCCATTAACCCCAAAAACTCTGGAACTATCTCCCACTTCCTCCCCACCTTCAAATCCTGCCTAAAGACCTTCCTTTTTGCTTTGTGCTTGCGATCACTTCCCACTCCCTCTTCCCCCTGGCTCAGCGTAAGACTCCACTACTGTGATACACTCCAGGATGCTACCCTGCATGAGGGACGCTATATAAATACAAGTTGTTGTTATTACTGTTGTACTCAAGGATTATTATTATTATTATATATCTGCTGGTGCCCCACTCCTCTACTTGCCCCTTCGCTCAGCTAACTCAAATCTATTACAAATCACCTGATCTCTCCACGCAACCATTGCCAGCCATGCCTTCAGCTATTACAACCCTAATCTTTGGAATTCCCTGCCTCAATTCGCCCTTCTTTAATTTTAAATTCCATCTGAAGACCTATCTCTTTGACCTCGCCTATGGTCACCTCTCTGTTTGCCTTGCTCATTGTCCAACCCCACCACTGTGCAGTGCTCTGAGATACTATCCTGTGAGTAGGGCAGTATACAAATATAAGCCTTGCCATAAGAGTTGTTTTTGTAGCTATTTTCCATAATAAAATGAACTGCACATGAACAAATACCCAAATATATTTGAAATCGGCAACATTTTTCTTATTTGTATTGAAAACTTACAATTTAGTGCAGTCGACAGAAAGTTGAGCCTTGAATCTACTAATATTAGCATGGTCAGTGAATACATCACGATGTCTTACTATGTCAAATGTGTAAAGGTAGTGAAGGAACAGTTGTTCGCACACTGTGGCAATATGTGTAGTAATTCGTCGACCAAGCTCTACATTCTCCGTAGCTGACAGAAAAGGATCATAACAAGATGATTGAACATCCTCCCAAAGCATTTTTACATGTGCCATAATAATTCCTCCCTAAAAATAAAAATACAAGTCCAAATCAGTAGCTGTCCAGAACCAGAGAATCAGTTGTCTTTCATAAATAACACTATATGATTTGTTTCTGGAGTAAACTAAATCAAGAATGGTTTACCTCCAAATGTTTTTATGGTGTAGCTGCATCAAATCCTGTGCTACTGAGGCAAACAACTCCAAAAAAAACATGGTTTGCAATGTATTACATCAGCTAAGAATGCAATAGGGACACTATAATTGGCCTCATAGTCCCTGTCAGTAAGTTTGTTTTCTGTTCCTGATTGTTATCACAATGTGTGAATGCTGAAAGTTAACAATGATTGAATTCAGCTTTGACACACTGTTTGAGGTTCATGCATTTCAAGTTGGACGAGAACCTCCATTGTTCAATAAACGATATGCCCGGAATTAATGATCACCTGGATAAAAGCATAGAAAAGTATTGGGAAATATCTGGATACCTTGTTTTAAGAATATAGCCATCATTAATCTGACAAATTGCAATTTTCTAATTTGCCCATTTGTATTGTAGCAAATAGTAACTTGGCTGGTTTGACTTCAGCCCTGATATCTGCTTTAAATAAAAGCAGTTTTCTAAACTGATATGACTATATTGGTACAGTTACAACATTCTACAGATAGAAAGAGATGAAGCCACATCTACAATGCTCAGCTAGCAAGTTTGTGAACTCGATTGTGCAGTGACCAGGTTGCCAAATATTGTAGTTGTTTTCCCAAAATTGGTAGAGGGAAAGGGGGTAGGTCATTATGGGTGTCCTCAAGAACCTCCCCACAGCCTGTTAAATATATCCAGCCAGATAAAATGCATCACTGCCAAATAATACACCCAGTTTGCTTGCCTATAAAGGTTGAGAATAATAATAAATAACAATGATGCATATTATAAGTGGGACAGAACAAAATGAAAAGAAAAATATGTTTGCGAGGCAACCAGCGCCTTGGGACGTCCTCCCAATGTGAAAGGCGCTATACAAATGTAATCTTGTTGTTGTAATCATGAATGTCAAAAGTAAAAAAAAACTTTAAAATTAAGTACCTACCAGTGCTTGTTGGTGTTCTTCAGAAACAGATGCAATCTCTGGCTTTACGCAGATCCTTCTTCGAATTATTTGACAAAAGACAGAGAGTGAGGTTGGGGCTTTCTTCACACTTTTGTCAATGGGGGTCACAGGACGCTCTAACTGAGTTTCTTCAAAAGAATATTACTAATAATTAATATAGCAATAATAAAATAACAATCAGTAAATCACTTTTTCTTTACACCTCCACAATGTGCAACACACCTCAGTCAAGTGGGACATATTTGTTTTAATACAAAGCATTAGAATACATACAAAGTAGGCCATCAGTTTTCCATAGGTAGAACATCTGAGCTAGCTATAAACTTCCATTTCTCCATACCTTTACAGCTGATTGTGGGACTTTGCTGGCATAAATGCCTGCCACTATTTCCCAGAAAAACAGTCACCACGTAATAGTAATTACTTATGAATTATTTTGAGGCATTTCAACCTGATAAGGCACTATAAAAATGCTCAGGATTACATTTAACACTGGAACACCAGTTTGGTTTGATCACTGATAATGAATCTCAATAAGGAATTCTAAAACGTATGCTGGATGATTGAAATATTAAAAAAAATACATCTGGATTGATCAAAAAGTAAAATTAAATAAATTGCAGAATAAGTTTAATTTCTGGCAGCTGTTGACTTGATCCATTCTAATATAGCATTATTCCTTTTCAGGAATAGGGTTTACTAACTGTTGACCTTCTTCCACATTTCACTATTGGCAGAAACTATGAATTTATTAGGGTAATGTTTCAAAACAAATACTTTAAAAATGATTTCCAAAATAAACCATGATCCTCAGCATCACTTACTATTGTTTGAAAACAAGTGTCTTGTGATTAGTGGGAGCACAAAAATATATAATCTTCAGATCAAAACATTGGCGATTTAACAATGGTACTCCAGGAAAGCAATATTTAAAAAAAAATTGACCTTTCTTTCATAAATGTGTCAACAGCAAAATCAGTATAACATCCAATCTTTAAGTTTCTTTATGAATGATTATTTGAAATGTTACACCCACAAGAGTGCGGTTGCAAGTAATTTCTAGTTGGTACCCTGATGGACAAAAATATTCCCATGTCTGAAAATCAATTTGAGGTCTCTCACATTCACTGCTACCTTTTAACAAATTGTCACTTCAGCAATAGCACATTGAACCATATTCTATTTTGAAATAGTGTTCAGAGTGAGTATCAAAACATTGTCCCTTGAAGTAATTTTCAGTAATCCGATTCAGTAGCAAAACGCACTGCTTTGTGATTCTAAATATTAAATATCTTGTTTAAATACATTGAAATATAAATGAAGGAATAATTATCTATTTAAAATAATTGAGATTATCATTTCCATTGGGTCAGTCGTGCACAAATTGTTGACTTTTGAAGTAATAGATTTTGTCAAAACCAAAATGCCTGAGCAGCAAACTTTTATTTGTAATACTTTGCAGTGCAAAATTATGATCTACAGTTGCTGAGGCAACGACAAGACAACAAAAAGGTAAAAAGGTAGAAGAANTTTTTTTTCCCATTGCCCATAAAATACATTTTCCTCACAAAATACAATAGAAATACTAAACCATAAAAAGCGTGCCCTTTTCTGTAGATCCAATAAATAATCCAGCTAGCATGCATTGAGTCAGTGAAGGAAGGTAAATTACCTAAATATTTTTTTTCTTCGAAATGAGATGCAAACAGACTCAGAGGTTCTAGCAGTTCTTTGTATCGTTTGCGTAGCTTGTTGACTGCATATATTCTTTGTGCCACTGGATCTAAGTCATCATTATTTTCTCCTTTACTGTCTTTATTTTCCATAGTGCTTACTCCATAAACTTTTGTTAATAATCTTGAAAATTACTGTAGGAAGGAAAACTAACAAAAATACATTTGAGATCATAGAATCATACAGTACGGAAGGAGGCCATTCTGCCCATTGTGTCTGTGCCGGCTCTTTGAAAAGAGCTATCCAAATCAATCCCACTCCCTCGCTCTCTAAAAAAATTGTCCTCCACGAGTTTGGATTTTTAGCTCAGTACCATTAATTAGAATCAGTGCTGGTAAGAAATTGCATACATTTAATTCCATTTTAACCAGGTCCCAATTTAGTCAAGATTACATATACTTTTATGCATTTTAATAATCCTTGCATTTTCTGCACATGGAGATTGCAAAATTTATGATTTACAGTTCATGAGTCCTGTAGCTCAGTGGTTAGAGCACTCGCTTTGCAAGTGAGAGACCTGAGTTCAATTCCAGGCAGAGGGCGAAACCTTGGGCAAGTTTCCTTACTCCACACAGAGCCTAATAACAATCCCTCCAAAACCCCAAAACAATAATAAATTGGTCATTTTCAATCTACAACTGTTTGTGGGACATTGCTGTGCGCAATTGGCTGCCGCGTTCGCCCACAAATATACAGTCAATTCACTTTTCAGTGTGTTCTGTGAAGCGCTTTGGGACGTCCTCCCGACGTGAAAAGCGCTATATCAAATGCAAGGATTATTATTATGAATCAGCCTTTTCACATTTAATTTTTTGTCTATGGAATTGAATTTAATTATCTACCCAATTAATTATTTATTGGTCTCTTAAAAGAGATCCAATAAATAAATTCTATAATTTTCTAATTCAAATTTATTTTCAAAATTGAAAGTTCTGCATCACTAAAAACTTTCAAAGGGACCGTGGAGGAAATCAGCAATGTATTGTGATGCATTTTGATCACCTGTTCAAATGGCAGCTTCTTTCGTTTTGTACACTTTTCCACTACTGACAGGAAAATGATTCAGGTCTTTACATCTGCACCTGGATTGAAGATAGAAAATAAGCTGTGGTTGCAGCAGTGTTTTCATTCATCTCAAAACTTGGGGAAAAGTTTCAGAGACCTGCAGAATGAATTTTGAAGCAAGTGTGACGGGGCAGAGGAAACAAAATTCAATGTTTGAGCTGCAAAAACATTTGGGCAAATGATCAAAATGTTAGCATGTTATTAGAAAGCATTGACGTGTTCTCAGAATACAGTAAATCTAATAGCAAATATATTATTTTAAAACTTTACTCTCTATTCCTATACTCCAAGCCGAATCCAGGTCCCATTATCTCTTCTCATTATTTTAAAGATCATTATTTTATTTTATTTTAATTTTATTTTAAATTTTATTTTATTTTAAAGATCTGGATCTTTAAATATCATATAGCTCTTATTTTTATCTTTTACACGTTCAGCTCTCCACATAATTTAAAGCTGTGAATCATGGAATCATCCTTTGTCTCACCATTGTCTCACCCTCTCCATTTCCTGAATACATTTTTGAATGTTCAGTAATCTACACAAGGCTAGAATAAGATATTTTGATTTAAACTGTGTGCAATAATTATTAATCATTCTCCAGATTCCTAGACGGTACAAACTTGCTAACTACAAAAATAATAAAATTTAAATAACATTTGGTGATTGGAGAACATCTGTACAAATTCAAGCTCAGCGAAAAGGTGGATAGGCAGATAAGATTAAATTATTTTACACAGGGAGTGAATATATAAAATTACACCTCTGGTGAGCAGTGGAAGCATATTGTGTCAGCAAATTCAAGGTGTGAAATAGCCATTTGGAGAAGAATTTAATTGACAAATAACAAGAACAACTTGCATTATATAGTGCCCTCCACATAGTTTAGCGCCTCAGAGCGCTTGACAGTGGCAGAGCCTGACTTTGAGCCGGGGGGGGGGGGGGGGATGATGGCCGTAAGCACAATAAAAGAGGAAGGTTTTCAGGCCGGATTTGAAAAAGGGGAGAGAGGGGGAAAGGCAGAAGTATTGAGGGAGTGTGGGAGTGTTCCAGAGTTTTTTTTGTGAGAGACAGAACAGTGTAAAAGAAAAAAATCCACATTGGAGGCAGCCGGACGATCTTTTGTGATTCTGTACATTATATTCCTACTTACAGAGTTAATTCTGTTCTATCATATTTTGATCGTGTTACAGAAAATGAGTTATTTGAAGAAAACCTTTATTTGGCATCTTACATCACCAGAATGACAGCCACACCACACAAAGCAGTTTGTCAGTCACTGCACTTCTAATGCATATCTGATGAAGAGCTGTTTCCAAGGGAAGCATTTGGCCTCAGGAGCGCGAAATGTTCATGTAACTCCCACCTTT